GTTATGATGTGTAATACCGTGTTATAATGTGTAATACTGTGTTATAATGTGTAATACTGTGTTATAATGTGTAACATTGTGTCATACTGTGTTATAATGTGTAATACTTTGTTATAATGTGTAATACTGTGTTATGATATGATAAACAGTAGGTTGTAACACTTTTGAACCTTTGTTCTCCAGGAGGATATTTTTGCCATCTCAATGCATCTTGGCTGGGTTGGTTCGTTTTGCGTTACTGTCGTGATATCTGGTCACATGGCAGACTGAACCCGGTCATATTTTGTTCCATTGAGATAAATAATTAAACAAAAGAGTCAAACCCCGCCCCTCCAGTTTCTCGGCTGTTTCTTTGGACGCACAAACTTCACCTGAACGAGAAAAACCCCACACGGTTTCCGTGACAACATGAGCAGTTGGTCTTGACCGGGCGGCGCTGTGTTGTTAAACAAGCGTCCACTGTGCGTTGGCCGGTTCAGTGCCAGCGGAGAGGATCAGTTCAGTTTGTTAGCGGAACAACAGCAGCAGCAGCAGCAGCAGCAGCGGATGGTTCAGATTCAGCTTCGGTTCTCAGTCTGAAACCGAGATTTGTTCCTTCGGTCTGTGTTTATGTGGAACTAAAGGTAAAGTTAACATATTCTCAGCACCTTAGCTTCAGCAACGTTAGCACTGATTTGCAATGTTCTCCCAGGTAGCTAGGCAAACGATAGCCTTGTGTTAGCTAGCTGTTAGCTATCGGAAACAGATTTGCCATGGATTAGCAAAACGGTTAACGGTGCAGTGCATCACAAGGACTAATGTGAACGTTATGGGGCTGGAACTGTGGAGAGGAAGTTATCGATTTAAAACAACCACAACGTTGATAGCTATGATAATCGCCTTTTATCTGATGTCGTAATTCGTTTTTAACAAATTCAATCTAGCGAATTGCCACGTTTAGCTGACTTAGCTCTCCTCAGCTAGTTAAGCGTAGCGGGTCACTTCCTATGTGAATTAGCTGGTGAAGAGGATTAGTTTGTGGCAGCCCAGACTCCGTGTATCCATCCATCTCTTTAAATTCGCCTGCACACGTACGGTGTTCAACTTCCTGCAGCCTCGGAGGGATCTAGATGTTTGTGTAACAGATTATGTAAGCGATGTGCTCATGTCGTTATTTTTGTTGGTACCCAGATGAGTCTGGTCGACTTTTGTTTCTGGCTCGTCGTCGAGGGGCAGATGAGTTTGATCGCTGAGCAGATCGGGTCATTAGCCAACAGCTGTTGTCCTCAGCCACGAACATTCAGTTCACACTACGCAAGAGAGGACGTTGAGTTTAGTCAACATCTCAGTGTCATAGTGAAACACATCAGACTAAATGGCGATTTAGATTGTAAATGTGAAGTCTTTGTCAGGGTTGTCACTTCAACTGAGGAACTGGATCTCTCACAACTAACTTTTACTGAATTGTATTTACTTCATTGTTTTGAGCTTTTTTAGTTTCTTTTAATCATTTTCCTTTGTCATTAGTTTTAGATGATGTATTATTTTATTTGGTGTGTTTGATTTTAGAGTTTTCTATCTATCTATCTGTCTATCTGTCTGTCTGTCTGTCTAACTCTATCTATACAAATAGAGTCATTATCATTTCGAGTTATGTGTCAAAGCTAACAAGAGGAGACCTTAACTTATCCCTATTAACGTGAACCACACTAAAACGACATTAACTGTATTTATTGTTACTGTGTCAGCACAATACGATAATATAATTTTCCCTCATCCGTATCAGGTGACGTTGTCTCGTATGGAATGACAACCTCACAGAGATACATCGAATCCAAACCAGCGGGTAAGTCGGCACGCTGCTGTGAAAATACATAAACTGTGTGTCAGTTCAACGTGTGTTCACATCCTCCTCTGTTGCTTTTGTCCTGTCTCACAAATATACCTTAGCTCGGTTTGCTGACATGGAGTGGCAAACACCAGCTGTGTCAGAGAAGTTCCAAAGTCGCTTTGGCCGTCGGCCTGGAACATCAGACAGTGGGGACACTGGTCTTGGCACCTCAGCATCTGACAGCACAGAAGGTGATGACTTTTGCTTGTTCTTCCCTCTGCCTGTAGCGAGTATTGTGTAACATTGTTTTGCAGCGGTGGTGAAGTCCAATAGAGTCAGAGTTGTTTGGCTTAATGGTGGTTGAGGTTTTTTTGTAATAGTCTGCCACATTCTTGCACTTCACATCTGTTGTTTGTCAACTATACTTGAAACTGACTTGTAAATTGACAATGTATAAAGTAGCGAGGAGCCACTCATGATCCTCAGGCTTAACCACAACCCTCCCTGTTTTGTGATTAGGCTGGTAAGACCATCTTCCCATATGCGATGTTATTCGGAGGCTATTTATAGAGTAAGCAAAATGTTCATGATCCTCAATCCATGATTAGGAGATTTGCAGAGGTAGATTAAATTCCTTGCCAAAAAATGCCCCCAGGCTCTGCTGCAGTGCTCTGGTGTTGTGGCTAATTGG